TCACCCTCCTATAGAACAGATTTGTTTTTGGCCTCTTTTTTCTATACTGGCCCTCATAAACCACAAATACTGGTAGATGATCACTAATATCATTTATAAGTAATCCACTTGTCATTTTGCTGTCAATAACATTGGTAAATATATTATCTACAGTATTAGTGTTGCATGCTGGGTTGTTACTCTACTTGGTTTTGTAATTTTTGGGTATAAACTGCATCTATATATTGTGTTAATAAACTCCTCAGTTCCTGTGTGCTTGTTAGGATTTAACAAATCTATATTGAAGTCACCACATATGAACATTAATTTATGACTTATTGTCAAGTAATTTTCTTCCATCCAGTCATTAAATTTTTCTATGCTGGCTCCAGGTGCTCTATAAATACAGCTTATTACAACATTTTTCTTTTTTTCCACGAGTATTTCTACAGTCACACACTCCAGCAAATTATCCACCACCCTTGACATTTTCTCCACTTTCTTATAACAAAAGTTTTTATCTATGTACAAGGCCACACCACCTCCCATCTTATTCTCTCTGTTTGTGCATACCAAGTCATAGCCATCAAGGTCAAAATCCATGCTCCTTACATTATTAATCCATGTTTCAGAAATGGCAATTATATTAAAAGAATGTTTTAGATTACTATGATAATGTTTTATACTCTGAAAGTTTGCGTATAGACTTCTGCTATTAAAGTGAATTAATGATAATTTGTTTTCAGTCTTGACATTGCTGTTAAACTGCTCATCCGTGTAATACTTGCAGTTATTTTCAGAGTTCTTAAGAAAGTTATTGTCAGGGTCAAAATCATCGTCCGATTCATGATAATGTTGTTCAGTCTCTCCAATTGTGTTCAATTCCAGATCCAGTCCCTCAAAAACTATTAACCTCTGTAGCAAATCACTTGCCTCATTCCGTACGTGGGTCATACTTGTTGTTGGTTCCTGCTAATTTGATCCTGCTAATAATGAACTGATTAGATTTTGACGGTCAAAGTGACCTCATGTCTGTCCCATTGCCTTGACTTTGACTGGTTGGTGGAGCTATACAACTGCAAAGCAGTAATTCAGTTTTTTTCTTTCTCTAATCCACATTTTGCTCATTGTTGTTTTGGGCCACTGTACAACCTACATAAAATATGTGCACAATGTTATGCAAGGGAATCCCTCTTCTTTCTACATAAAACACTGAGCATAGCGATGCTTGCTTGAATCTTCAGAGACTTGAGCTTATTTTATCCATGTCATTCAATAACAAAACTGTTCAGTGTCCCATTATACCAGCTATATCTAAGCATTTATGATGCTGTAGTATTACAGGTGAAAACCAGCAGGGAGGCTTAAAAATAGCACAGTGAAGACAAAAGCACACTGTGAAGCCTTATACCCAGCAGATGCTAATGTTGATTTTTTTAATCAATATGTTGATGGTGCATGGCTCATTCTAATATGAGTAACAGAAATGCATTACATGGACGCGTGGGCTATAATTTTGTTTATTTTCCCCACTATTATCATAACTTCACATCTACCAACCTGCACTCTTCATTCCTTGGGTGCAGGCCAAGGGTGCTTGATGTAGATTATTTGATGTCCCTCCTCCTCCCACAAGGAGAACAGAGAATATAACTTATTAGATCACCCTCCTCTGCAAAATATGACTCTCAGATGTGGCTTTGTGCTAATCTTTGGATTTTTTGAGGCACAGTTCTCTGAGAGTAAACCACACAAGTGATTTGGGTGAGATATTTGCAGCATGGATGATGAAACATAAGGTTTTAGAATAGCTGGAAGCCTTAAAACCTAAAATCATCTAAACCTTTCCTGTTTGGGTAGTTACTGCATAGAGAGGCCTGCCTTTTCAAGCTATTAGAGTCTCATGTCTTTAACAGTGTTGTCAAGTTCTACCACTAGAACCTGAGCCCCTTATTCCCAATCTGCATCTAGTTGCTGAATAAGTCCTTACCTGCTGCATGTTTATCCTCCAACCACGCTCTGACGCTATTCTCAGATAACAAGCTCTCAATTAAAATAGGTGAACAGGGTCAGCCTACTCCTCTGCAGCCCACAGCCGTGTATTCCCACTGAGTGACATGGAAATATCAACAGGGCTTAACTGGAGTAGGTGATAAGAGAGTTAGTTGGAATGAGGTTCTTTCTCAGCATAATGATTTCCTCTGCAGTGTGAGGATGCTTTTTACTACACTGTGGTCTGTACAGTGGTTTTGATATGGATGACATTATGTCTGCAACTTTGACAAAGGGCATCATTTCTTAGTGGTGTTTCACAAGTTTTCACTGCAGCTGCTAAAACCTTTGTTGATCCCACTGAGCTCATTTAATATCATTGTAAAGACCTTTAAACTGTGCTTTTAGGATGAACAGAAGATCATTCAGGCTCAGTTGTTAACCAAAGTAATTACTTCTACTGTATTCTGAGCTTGCCGCTTAAACCTGACAGAAAGAAAAAGCCTCAAAACTATAAATTAGCAGTAAGGTCAAATGTGCTGCTTTGAGAGCTTAATTCTTCATTGTACATTGATTAAAGCTTTGTTCTTTCTTCTTCCCTGAAAGGTTCCTCCTATCTTATTGGACAAACAGTTCTCTGACTTCACCCCTGACATCACTCCCATCATTCTTGCTGCACACACCAACAGCTATGAAATTATCAAGCTTCTGGTGCAGAAAGGTGTGTCTATGCCACAGCCACATGAGGTGGGTAAAGCATAGTCTCTAATTTGTGATGTAAACTGAAATGATGAGTTTTCTTATGTTTAGTTTTGTTATGGGGATGATTATCTTGCAATTTTTATTAAGTTCAAGGCATTGTTTATGGAGTTAGAAGCAAAAATATTGAAATTGGCCCTATGTCACAAGGGTGAAGAGTCCTTAAAAAATGGATTGTTCCATGGGCCATGTGCTGCTTTTTGAGTTTTGCTGTGAACAAATCAACAAACAACCCCTTATAAAAACATAGCCTCCATGGCAGACATAAAAAAATCAGGAGCAAAAGTCTAAAACATGATAATTAACCATCAGCTAAGAAAAGGCCATGACTTGAAAGTGAGTTTTAAGAAGAGATTTAAAGGACGACACGCAGTTTGCCTGCCTGAGGTTATCAGGCTGTTCCACGACCAAGAGATTCACAGAGCAAAAGCTCAGTCACCTTTGGTGATCAGTCAAGATTGTGCAACCATTGGTAAGGGCCTGCCAGAGAATCTGGCAGTGATAAGGCTCATAATATCTGAAGGCAACAGCAAAATCTAAGTCAGCAATGTTTTCTTATGCAGTTAAAAGTTTGACTACTGCAGTAGTTTTTCAAAGCATTTGAGGTTTGTTGAAAGTCAAAATAAAATGTGCTTATGTCCGTAATTTTTAAAGTCAAACATTCGCTCACTTTTTATCTAAATAACACACCCTACTTAGCTGATGTAATACTGTAGGTAGCAGAGCACGTATTGCTCTTACTGAACACAGGCAAGCCTTTTTAAAATGTGTCCCTGCTTTGTTTGATGTTGCAGGTGCGCTGCAACTGTGTGGAGTGTGTGTCTAGCTCAGATGTGGACAGCCTACGGCACTCGCGCTCACGCCTCAACATCTACAGAGCATTGTCCAGTCCCTCGCTAATTGCGCTCTCTAGCGAGGACCCGTTCCTTACTGCATTCAGGCTGAGCTGGGAGCTGCAGGAGCTCAGCAAGGTGAAAAATCCATAGTTTGATTTTTTTTTTCTTTTTTTTAGAAAAGCTAAATAACTAATAAATATAGGAAGATGTCAGATTCTTTAATCGACATCTCACTGCTTTAGGTGATACCTGAGACTGATTAAGTGTAATTTATATATATTTTACAGAACCATTAACATGTATGCAGTTATCCCATTTTAGTTGGTTAGATCAAATACGGTATTTTCCCATTAAAACACGGCTTAGAGAGGTGGTGCGTGTAACTAATCTACATGAGTGAATGCAATCTTAAATGCACACAAAATAGCCAGAGGTGATGGTTCATTAAGAAATGTCACTTACTAGAAATACCTGTACTCTGCTGCAATATTGACTTGCATTTCTGGTCAGGCTCTTCGGGGACTCTTGGGATACCTGTAATATGCATACACTTCACATGTCTTTCAGGTGGAGAATGAGTTCAAATCAGAGTATGAAGAGTTGTCTCGACAGTGTAAACAGTTTGCCAAGGACCTCCTGGACCAGACAAGGAGCTCTAGAGAGCTGGAGATGATCCTCAACTACAGAGATGATATCAGCTTACTGGAGGAGGAAGGCAACAATAATCTGGCAAGACTCAAACTAGCTATCAAGTACCACCAAAAAGAGGTAGGCGTGTTAGTGCATAATGTTAATACTGATCTTTTATCAGCCCTGCTTTAATCCTCACCCTTTAGTATAAGTTATTTGGTTTATGATTTCACACTAATCTGCAGTTTTTTGAGTGGCTTGCATGACCAAAGTTGTAAAAAGAACGTCAGTGTGAGTGCTAGTTTATAGTTTACACTCTGCTATTACATCGCATATTAAAACACATGTATGCAGTGGTTTTTAAAGGTCAAAACAAGAACAACATTTTAGAGGCTGCAGAAATGTGAAGGAATCATCCTGGTGGCACACAACCTCTCAATCAAGTGCACCTGCCCCCTCTTTCAGCTAAGCAAAGCTAGGAGGGTCACAGTATCATAGCCTATTAGCCTTTAGCCTTTTAGGTTGTCTAATATATAATAAATTGCATCTTGTTTCTTATGCTTTCCCTTGCGTCCCCTCTAATATTCTTTTTCCTTCTGCCCAGTACATTGTTTGCTACATTACCTACTGTTCAGCTTGTTAGTTTTCAACGCCACATGCCCCAGGCAACACTCACTGTGTGTTGCCTGGGGAAGGCTGCCAAGGTTTCGCTATTCCAGGCCAATACTTTGTCTTCTCACAGGTGTCTCTACCAGCTAGCTCATTTAAACCAGTATAATGATGTTATATTAGCATCAGAGCCTTTTCTAATGTTTCCAGATGCTGGTTTGACTGAATCTGTTCTGGCTTTTGCAGCTTACACAGATGAGCTATGTTTTTTTGGTTTGATGAAGGACTGGAGCATCCCAGTTTAAAGACTTGCTATATTATGGCTGAAGGCTTCTTCAAGCAAGAAAAGAAGTGTCTTATGATGACTTTTGTTATTTGGCACTATACAAATAAAATTGATTTGAATTAATATTAAAGCATAAATGATGAGGAAGCAAACACATTATTCCCAGGAATGACTTGTACTTCTTTTGGGGAACTTCCTCTTGGAGTTCTGCCTGGTTGTCAGAGCAGATGCACTTTTAGAAGACACTGGATTTGTGATGCTGCTGTTTCCTTCATGAATCCAGTTGCTGCACATGAAGACACAGGCCGGCAGAGAAGCATGCCGAGTCACAGAAGGACAGCTGGGAATAGTGCACAGGTGGACATGATGATGGACAGTCCCTTGTCAACTTACCCAAACTCTCAGTTAATGGCAGTAAATCTTTCATTGTGCACACTGTAAACAAATATTTTCTCCTCCCCACCTCCACCACAGATGTCCCTGCTTCCACCTCCTCTCCCAGGGGTGTTTTCATTTGCCAAGTGACGTCCCAGTATCCTGTTCACCCGAATGCTATCTATAACACCCTTCGATCACACTAGGACTTTGATAGAGGACAGTGTCTAATGATGTCCACCCATCTGCCCTTTTCAAATGATAAATGCCCCAGCTATTTAAACTGGTTCATTCTGTGGCCATGTTGTGGGGATGTTTACACAGTCACACTGTGGGGACCCAGTGTCCTTGTGGGGACAAAAGCAAGTCCCCAACACATAGATCATTACATTTTAGAGTGATGATTTGGTTTAAGGTTACGTGAGAATTAGGAAGTTAGTGGTTGGGATAATTAAGGTTAGGAAAAGCCAGTGTAATGTCCCCCAGAAGTTAATGTCCTTGCAGGAACTTGCCTTATTCGTATTGTTTCAATACTCAGACTCTCATCTCTAGAAAATCCTTAAAAGAAGTGGGGTTCTTTTGGAAAGAGCCAAATAATCTTACTAGACTGGGGGATGTGTTTTGGGCTCAATTATAGACATGGCAAATTTGATTCATTGTTTGTTTGCAGAGCATGCAGTAATGTAGTTATGTAGTAACTGTTTTTAGCTGCAGTAGTCCTGCTAAAGGACAGGATTTTATACAGATTCAGCAGCACAAGAAGCAATTCCATTAACATTATAACCAGTAAAGAAAAAATTGTGACAGTAGCATTTTGTAGATTTTTTTTTTTTCTTTAGGACAGGAAAAATACATATTGTACAGTATTATACAACACAGATTATTTTGGCTATTGAATTGTATATCATTTAAATGATAGTGTGCAATGGAAAATGTTTAGCACAATGAAGCATTGGCCCTTTAACCACACACACAGACACCAACATATGCATGCACGCTGAGGTAGTGATACGTATTGCTTTTGTGCTTGTGTCAGATGATCTTTAAGCGAGACAGGGCATCAAGGGTTAAGTGGACACTTAGTTGGACTAGAAAGGCTTCACTGTTTTCCAGAGAGCAGTTATGTTCAGGGTATTTTGTCTGTGGCGGGATCATGTTCAACTATTTTGCAGACACTCCAGCTCTTCTGCTTGGCTTGACACTTACCCTCAATGTGTGAATTTTTTTTTTTATAGCACTGGCTGTTGATGAGTGTTCCATTGAGTCATACAGAGCCTTTTTTTGACCCTCAACTGAACAAAATGTGGGCTAGTTCTCCTCCAAACCATCACATTGTACTGTATGTGTACACTCTTTTTTTTGTTTGTTTTTTTTTTGTTTGTTTGCATCTGTGTGTTTTCCAGCTTTGCTGCTGCTGTGCTCCCAGGGTTTAGAAAGGCAATTTAAAATAGTCTGAACGGAAATCTCCACAGGCCTACCATCTAAAGAGTTGAGCTAACTGAGCAGTCTGTGCTTTGATGCCACAGGAGGCCAAATCATACAAATATGAGTAACACATGCACATTAAAGTGCCGTTTATCCCCTCTGCCTCCCCGAGGCTTTCAACACTGGATTACTCTCATTTGTACAGATATACTTACAACAACTTACTGTAGATGCATCCATTGAATATTCACAGTGTGAGCGAAGAGGGTTTGTGTCTTTAATATTTAAATTCTCAGAAGCGGCAGGGAAAACCTATCATTTTTACATTGTTACATGTAGATTAATGTTGCCCCCTTGTGATGTCTCATAAAAACTACAGTTCAGTATTTCAAGTAGTCTTTAATGTCTCCTTAAATGGAGATGGCATTGCAGCAATAAGCATAAATAAATGAAGGACCATTAGCAACCAGTTGTTTCAGTAACTCAATGCAACAGAATGCAACAGGAGTCACCCTCCAGTGTTTGGCAATATTTGTCCTACAAATGATAGTTTTCTTACAACAGTCAAAAGAGATAATGCATCTTGTTCCTAAACATATCAGTTTATTTATATTTAGAACAAGTAATATAATCTCGCGCTACTTCCAGATTTTATTTCACCTGTAAACAAAATGGCTAGTTAGATCTCTTACGGTGCTGTGTGATCATCAGTGTAGGCTGATTTAGAACTTGTAGCATATGGTGGATAACACCACATTGAAAAACATCGTGAATCCACACTTTGCAAACTCTTATACACTCAAACCTAGTGTTCATTCAAATGAGGGTCCAAGCAAAGGTGATCAGGGGAATAATCTTAGCTAATTTAACCACCAGTAAAAACCAGTAATTATATATATATATATTCATGGTTTTAAGAATAAAAAATGTCAACATCAATTTATTCTACATATTTGAAATCATCACATTATGATCTTTAAATGTATGAACTTCAATATCAATAGTATTTAATCGCTTAACCTAAAAAAACAGCTAAAACATACAGTAGTTGTAAGGTGTCTTATCAGTGTGTGTCAGAGGAAGTGGAGGAGTCCTGTTATGATGGTGTGCCTAAAGCTGCAGGGAAGCATGTTTTCACAGAGCTACAAGACAGCCTCACTTCTCCGGTCACACACTGATAAGCACTTTCCTGGCTTTTTGTTTGGAGAGCTGACTGTGGAGAGAATCAGGAGAGGTTGTAGGAAAACACAAACTGTCCTGTTCGAGTTGTGTGAACATGCCACTAAAGGTAAATATGACACTTTACTAACTGCTGAGTATTGTAACAGACAGCTGAGTGCTTGTGACAGACAGAGGCAGCTTGCCGTAGTCGAGGTGTGTGACATGTTTAGACTTTATCTCCTAGAAAAATGTACTGGAAATAAAGTATAAGGATAAAAAAGAAGTTATATGGGATGAATGGAAGTTAATTTTAAATAAAGGAAATGAACCAAGTAAATTACTATCCGTCCATCTTCTAAACCACTTGGTTCCAAACAGGGTCACGCAGCCAATCCCAGCCAGCTGCGGGGTACACCCTGGACAGGTTGCCAGTCCATCGCAGGGCTAACACACAGACGAACAACCACTCACACGCACAATCACTTCAACAGGCAATTTAGAGACACCAATCAACCTAAGCTGCATGTCTTTGGACTGTGGGAGGAAGCCGGAGTACCCGGAGAGAACCCACGCAAGCACAGGGAGAACATGCAAACTCTGCACAGAAAGCCCCGGGTTGGCCAGGGCTTGAACCCAGAACCTACCTGCTGTGAGGCAACAGCACTAACCACCACACCACCGTGCTGATAAAAAAGAAGTTATATGGGATGAATGGAAGTTAATTTTAAATAAAGGAAATGAACCAAGTAAATTACTGCTTTATGGCAATAGTATGGATTTTTTCTTACTCATTCTAACCTACTCTACAGTAGTAGATGACACTCCATGTTTTCTACACAATGTTGCATTTTCTCACTGAACTGATTCAAATATATTCTGTTTGTTTTGGTAAAATATAACAGTGTACAAAATAACCTATCATGGCCACAGACTTCCCCTTTAAAAAGCCTGTAATCTGGTTATATTTTGGACAAGTCTGTTACAGCTTCTAATTATGATGTGAATTATCTTAATTTGTAACCTCGTTAGCATCACTGTCAGTGTTTAATATATCATGCTGAGACAGGCAGTTAAAGTGGCTCTTGTTAGCCGTCATTAATTAGGAATATCATTCTGCCAATAAAAGATACAAGCTAAAAATGAACACTTCTGTTTATGAAAGAAGCATTCACTTGTGCCCCCCAGTTACCTTTGACACAACAACTGTAATTAAATGAACAAAGCGTTTTTGAAAAGAAAAAGGAGCAATTCCATGTATGGCTGCAGCAGAATCTAAATGATGGCTCGTTTTTTGAGTCTTATTATTTTAGGGAGTAAAGTTCTTTGTTGAAATGATTGGCCAATACCCACCAGTCAGATTCAGATGTTGGATACCAGTGGATATGGTTATAGATTTTGTCTATAACGAGGTTTATGTTCAAAGGAGTCATATGAAAAGAGAATATCAGGGGCTTTTTCTCTCACTTTCTCATTTATCCTTCATTTATCAGAATATTTTGGTATATAAAAGTTGATCATCTTAATGCTCTCTCTCTGTCTCTGTGTGTGTCTCTCGCTCTCTCATTTGGAAGAAGAATGGGTATTCCTCTTCTCTACTCATCCATGAAATTCATCCCCTCTATTCCCTCCATGCATTTCCCCTTAACTTTTATAGTAAGAATGTAGTTGATGTATGGAAATATTCTCCCCCAGCCCCTGATGCAGATAGGGATCTCTGGTTCCCATGGTAACGAGGCTTCAGACTTAGTGAATTGGCATCCACCGGCGCCAGACACTTTGACTCTGATGCAGAAGCTTTATGTGATATTTCAAAACACTGTGTGTGCATGTGCGCTCATGCTTTTAGACTCATTATTGTTGCTGTTTCAAGTGTGTATCCTAAATATCCCAGAGGTTATTAATGTAGCACCAGTTCATTTGGCTGAGGCAGCTTGAGAGCAGTGTTGCAGTTTTGATGCATTGATATTTTGACCTGGCAGGTCATTATAAATACTTATTCACCAAGAGGGGCCTGGCATGAACACAGACAAAATCTCCCTTGTTATCTCTGTCTGTCTGTATCTATAGGGAGGAGCACTTTATTATCTCAAGAAAATCAACAAGAAATGCAATGCAGTCAACTAAAAAGATGATCCTCCAGTTTCTTGACAACATGTAGATTACTTTGCTGCTTGTGTAAGGCTCCTGTTTGTTAGTTGCTTGTTTTATCTGTGTCAAAACAGCCATTACCTGAAATTTTCTAAAATATCCATATAGCAAATGATTGCTCATCAGCGTTTGATTCTTCCAGCCATCTTACATGTGGTCACTCGGGCATTATGTTCTGTGTGAAACCACTAAGTAGTCTCAGGCTGTGGTTGCTCTCTCCCAGCTGACTTACAGTGCCTTGCGAAAGTATTCGGCCCCCTTGAACTTTGCGACCTTTTGCCACATTTCAGGCTTCAAACATAAAGATATAAAACTGTAATTTTTTGTGAAGAATCAACAACAAGTGGGACACAATCATGAAGTGGAACGAAATTTATTGGATATTTCAAACGTTTTTAACAAATAAAAAACTGAAAAATTGGCCGTGCAAAATTATTCAGCCCCCTTAAGTTAATACTTTGTAGCGCCACCTTTTGCTGCGATTACAGCTGTAAGTCACTTGGGGTATGTCTCTATCAGTTTTGCACATCAAGAGACTGAAATTTTTGCCCATTCCGCCTTGCAAAACAGCTCGAGCTCAGTGAGGTTGGATAGAGAGCGTTTGTGAACAGCAGTTTTCAGTTCTTTCCACAGATTCTCGATTGGATTCAGGTCTGGACTTTGACTTGGCCATTCTAACACCTGGATATGTTTATTTGTGAACCATTCCATTGTAGATTTTGCTTTATGTTTTGGATCATTGTCTTGTTGGAAGACAAATCTCCGTCCCAGTCTCAGGTCTTTTGCAGACTCCATCAGGTTTCCTTCCAGAATGGTCCTGTATTTGGCTCCATCCATCTTCCCATCAATTTTAACCATCTTCCCGGTCCCTGCTGAAGAAAAGCAGGCCCAAACCAGGATGCTGCCACCACCATGTTTGACAGTGGGGATGGTGTGTTCAGGGTGATGAGCTGTGTTGCTTTTACGCCAAACATAACATTTTGCATTGTTGCCAAAAAGTTCGATTTTGGTTTCATCTGACCAGAGCACCTTCTTCCACATGTTTGGTGTGTCTCCCAGGTGGCTTGTGGCAAACTTTAAACGACACTTTTTATGGATATCTTTAAGAAATGGCTTTCTTCTTGCCACTCTTCCATAAAGGCCAGATTTGTGCAGTATACGACTGATTGTTGTCCTATGGACAGAGTCTCCCACCTCAGCTGTAGATCTCTGCAGTTCATCCAGAGTGATCATGGGCCTCTTGGCTGCATCTCTGATCAGTCTTCTCCTTGTATGAGCTGAAAGTTTAGAGGGACGGCCAGGTCTTGGTAGATTTGCAGTGGTCTGATACTCCTTCCATTTCAATATTATCGCTTGCACAGTGCTCCTTGGGATGTTTAAAGCTTGGGAAATCTTTTTGTATCCAAATCCGGCTTTAAACTTCTCCACAACAGTATCTCGGACCTGCCTGGTGTGTTCCGACCTGCCTGGTGTGTTCTTTGTTCTTCATGATGCTCTCTGCGCTTTAAACGGACCTCTGAGACTCTCACAGTGCAGGTGCATTTATACGGCGACTTGATTACACACAGGTGGATTCTGTTTATCATCATTAGTCATTTAGGTCAACATTGGATCATTCAGAGATCCTCACTGAACTTCTGGAGAGAGTTTGCTGCACTGAAAGTAAAGGGGCTGAATAATTTTGCACGCCCAATTTTTCAGTTTTTTATTTGTTAAAAAAGTTTGAAATATCCAATAAATTTCGTTCCACTTCACGATTGTGTCCCACTTGTTGTTGATTCTTCACAAAAAATTACAGTTTCATATCTTTATGTTTGAAGCCTGAAATGTGGCAAAAGGTCACAAAGTTCAAGGGGGCCGAATACTTTCGCAAGGCACTGTACATGCTGCTCTCACACCTTTGATTAGTCTATGAGAAATAAAATTTTATCTCTGTAGCTCAAACAGAGGATTGCAGATGAAAAGCATAACTCTTGCCTTGCTTCTCTTATTTCTTCAAGTTTGTAGCTCAGCCAAATTGCCAGCAGCTTTTGGCATCCCGATGGTATGATGAGTTCCCTGGCTGGAGGCGACGACACTGGGCGGGGAAGTTTGTCACCTGTGTCTTCATTGGCCTCCTCTATCCCTTGTTCGCTCTCTGCTACATCATCGCCCCCAAGAGTCGCTACGGCCTCTTCATCCGCAAGCCCTTCATTAAGTTCATCTGCCACACGGCATCCTACCTGACCTTTCTATTCCTGCTACTCCTCGCCTCCTCCCTGCATATTTTCACCACCCAGCAGAACAGCCAGGATAAACAGGGTCCTGCACCGACCACTGTGGAGTGGATGATCCTGCCCTGGGTGTTAGGTGAGTAAAAGATGTGGAGACTGAGGGTAGTTGGGGATGGTTGTAAGTTGGTGTCCTCATATACAAAAATGTCTGAACAGCTGTCCTACTCAATTCAAAGCTAATCATCTGTACTGGTGCTTCAGTCAGGGAAGTTTCAAGCCCTTACAATATTTAGTCCTGGATGCCCAGAATAACTTTTTACTATATACCTGCTAGATACCTCCCAGAAACAAGTACATCTACTTTCTGTTTCCATGATATAAGAACATTAAATGATGAGACAATCTCTGTGTTTCTAGGAATCATCTGGGCAGAAATCAAGCAAATGTGGGATGGTGGTTTCCAAGACTATGTCCATGACTGGTGGAACCTTATGGACTTTGTCATGAACTCTTTATACCTGGCCACCATCTCCCTTAAGATTGTAGCCTACACTAAGGTATTTAATTATCCATGAGTAACAGCAGAGTAGGCAGTGTGTTCTCAGCTTATCTGTTTCCCATTCTTTTCCCCCTTCAGTACAATGACAATGGCAGTAAACCCAGGAACGAGTGGGAAACGTGGCACCCGACACTAGTAGCTGAGGCGGTGTTTGCCATTGCAAACATTTTCAGTTCCTTGCGCCTGATCTCACTGTTCACTGCCAACTCTCATCTGGGGCCACTGCAGATCTCTCTTGGGAGAATGCTGCTGGACATCCTGAAGTTCCTCTTCATCTACTGTCTGGTAAACTCATGTTTTTGCACACACATAACATAAACATGCTGTGTGGGAGAGTAAATATGACAGAACTACATGGATTGGTTTCAATATTTGCATCCACTTTGCTCTTTCTCCAGGTCCTACTGGCCTTCGCTAATGGGCTGAACCAGCTCTACTTTTACTATGAGACCAAAGATAAGAATGGAACGTGCAAGGGGATTCGATGTGTCAGCTCTACTTTTACTATGAGACCAAAGCTTCAGATGAGAAGGGAAACTGCACGGGGATTCGATGTGCGGAGCAGAATAATGCTTTCTCCACGTGAGTTCACATGAATCTAAACTTGCTTGCAGTGTAGAGTAGATGTGCGATGTTGTGAAATTGGGTGTCACCGAAAACAGAGTTGTGAGTCTGTGAATATTGCTGTTACTGTTTCTAAAATGTGTGAAAAAAATCTCCAAAAGTTTTCAGTCGTTAAGAGAAACTGAGAATTTCGTAAACATCAGTGTAACAGAATTTTTTCAGCTTTATAAAAAAAATTCTTCAATTGATGAAACATCATCCAACACTGACAATCCATAGTATTTACAAACTCTATTTCCAGAAACTTTGGGACATTTTCTAACATGCAATAAAAACTAAAATATGTGATTTATTAATTCACTTGAACCTTTATTTGACTGACAAAAGTACAAAGAAAAGATTTCCCATTTTTTCAGTGACCAACTTAATTGCATTTTGTAAATATGTACAAATTTAGAATTTGATGCCTGCAACACACTCAAGTAAATTAATTCAGTTATTAAAAATTAGTTCAAGCAAATTAATAAATCACAGATTTTAGGTTTTATTGAATTTTGGAAAATGTCCCAACTTTTCTGGAAATGGGGTTTGTTCTTGCATTTTTCTCTTGCAGGTTATTTGAGACTTTGCAGTCTCTCTTCTGGTCGATCTTTGGTTTGATCAACCTGTATGTAACCAACGTGGATGCAAACCACCATTTCACTGAGTTTGTTGGCGCCACCATGTTTGGTACCTACAATGTCATCTCACTGGTGGTGCTCCTCAACATGCTCATAGCAATGATGAACAACACCTACCAGCACATTGCTGTGAGCACAGATCAGACACACTGTTAAAAAAGTCACATGAATTTGAGGAACAGAACACACATTTTTTCAAATGTGCCCTAATCTTGATTTCAGGATCACGCAGACATTGAGTGGAAGTTTGCCAGGACAAAGCTGTGGATGAGTTACTTTGAAGAAGGGGCCACTCTGCCAGCCCCATTCAACATCATCCCCAGTCCTAAGTCATTGTGGTACCTCATGTGTTGGATTAAGAGGCAAGTGTGCAAGAGGACTAACTCCAAGCGGCCTGAAACCTTTGGATCTCTTGGAGTAAGTGAGGTGTCAATCACTAAACACACATCTATGTATATATGTTTAACAGAGATAGAAAGGATAGAATCTGGTTTGTTTGCAAAGTGATTTGATTTGATTTATGCTTTCAAGCATATAAAACAGTTGATATAACAACACACATTTTTACACACAATCCAATATCAATTTGCTTATACCTAGTACATGCTTGAATGGAGTAGGAAGAAGTCAGACTTATCCAGTCCTACCCCATGACATCATCTTACCATCATTGGTTTGCAAGCAATAAATGATTCACTTCTGCACACACACACATTATACTAAAAAAGAATATAACAGTGTTAACATTCTTAAATCACACAATTGATATACTAAAGAATGGTTACAAAATATAATCATTGAGCCTGTTCTTGCATATATCTTGATTGACACACACCTTTATATTTACATGCCACAATAATGTCACAGGCCCTCTCAGGTGTTACCCTGAGGTGACAAAACGTGCTTTCAACAGGCCTATGGTCATTTCCACCCGGCCTCTTGTTCTGCAGTGTGCCACATTAAAGCGTTGCTGGGGGCCTGCTTCAGGTTTTGGGTAAGGGGTCGTTAGTGTGGGCTGGCATGGGTAACCCCTATCTCCCAGTTACCAGTTAAGGAGTTGTATAGAATGCATCTTATCTAAAAAATGTTATACTTGGACCGCCAGATTGAAAAGACAGATCTAGAAACTGAAATTCTCAAACAAAAGCTAGAGGTGAGTGTATAGTTACAGGTGAATTGTATGAATTATTGGACGAATCTAACAATTGCTTTTGTATTTGTAGGAAATGAAGAAACCCAAATAAATTATGATTAGCATTTTTTCAGTTTCTTTCTGTCATCGGTGGTGGTGGTGATGGTGGTGGTTGTTGATTAATCCAAGAAGACATTACGGCATATCTTATCTCTGACTGTCCTTCCATCCTGGTAATCTGCAGGGTGGATGGGTCTTTCTCAGGGGCTTGTATTTGTAGGGCCAGG